CAAAACAGACAGTGATCAACTTCATTAATTTCTTCATTGGCTTGCAGTAATTGGCTAGTGATATTTGGAAATAGCCTTTAAAAAAGAATTGTGGCAGGACATAAAATTGAGTCTACATTATCAGAAGATATGATAACTACTTAATGACTATACTTTTGATCTCATTTTGGTAAGTGTGCATTACCATACTGCAAAGGTTTCTTTTGCAGATAAATGAGGCAAATTACTGGAAAAAAAAAATCCCAACAACTCTATATGCAATTAATCTAAATTCAAAATAATTAACACTTACTCCTTTCTTGGAGTAATGTAATCTCTTATAATTATATCTAGAGGCCTATATTAAAAAAATACCCAGGAAATAAACCCCTATCTTTTAGAGGAGCAGCCAGGAAGAACTGATACAATAGCTGGAAGCCATTCTAATACCTATTTCAGGAAAATAAGTAGGTCAGCATGGTGCATGTGAAAATCCTAAGAGCCTGATCATGCCACCTTTTCCTGGGTGAGAGTTTCACCATACAGTTTCAAAAATAACTTGTTTAAGAGTGAGATGCCTGACAAGGTCCTTAAGATGAGATTTGACTTTAGCTCTGCGCTGAACTAAAAGCAGCACAACTTTGCTGCCCAGAGAGAATGATGTATGGAATTACTCTTTGTAGTTTTGTAGTTTCTCCACATTTAAGGAAGGCTGCGATTATTACTGACAACTGTCAGCCACGGCTTACCACTCCATCACTGCAACTCACTTGTTCTTGTCAACTAGTATAGGTACCAAGGTCCCGCTTCCTCAGGGAAGGAATGAGAGAGCTTCACAGGTCAAGTACTTAACCAGGCACATATATTTAACGTCTGCATAAATCCAGCTTGGTGCAGAAGCAGCATTTCTATTCCTATACTCTATAAAAGTCATCATGGTAAGTTTGGCCCATAATAATAACTAACTGTACTTCAGCAAAGCTAGCACACAATCTAACCACTTCAGAAAAAAACAGACACGAAAAGCAGTTCAAAGTACTAACACCAAGCTATTTCTGATCATCCATAGAGAGAATATTCACCAGATGTGGACGATATGCTTCAATGGCAGCTGGCTCTGAGACAGACTGGCCACTGGGCAAGGCTGAGACAGTGGTAATGCCTCTGTGATAATGTATTTAAGGAGAAAAAACCCCAACCAAATGGCAAATGCAGCCAGAGAAAGGAGTGATAATGTGTGAGAGAAACAACTCTGCAGACCCTAAAGGCATTGAAGAAGTACAGAAAAGAGTATGAGGAGAAAGGAATGGCAAGGACAACCTCTGATAAACTGACCAGAACTCCTATTCCAAATCCCTCCATGCCACTTGGGGAGAGATGGTAGAGAAAATCTGGAGTGAAGTTGGCCTGCAAAGAAAGGATGGGTGGGAGGAAGGTGTTTTTAAACTTTGGCTTTATTTATTATCCTACTCTGATTAGACTGGCAATAAATTAAATTAATTCCCCCAGTCAAGTCTGTTTTGCCCTTGACGGTAGTGTTGAGTGATGTTTTGGTCCTTATCTTAATCCACAAACCTTCCATGGTGTTTTTCTGTCCCCTGTCCAGCTGAGGAGGGGAGTAATAGAGTGGTTTTCACAGACAGCTGGCATTGAACTAATTTTAACCTGACAAAATTCTCTGTGAAGAAAAAGCCTTCCCAACACTCACACCAATGCTGCTGAATGTGCTGTAAAAGAAGGAAAAAGAATAACACAGGATGCATTCAAGTAATTATATCACATTAAAAAGCTGGCTTGCTCTTGTGCAAACAAGCTCTTGTAATTTTGGTTTTGAATAAATCCCTGGGAACTTTGTATCATGTGCTATACATCAAGATCAAGCAGTGAGTAGTTTGTACAATGTGGTAGTAGTACAATGCTTTAACATGTAATATTGACAGGAGGGGGAGTGCCTGTTGGGGAAGGTTTCACAAAGGTTAACATTAGCCCCTGCAGGCCAATGCCTCAATGGCCTTCTCTCACAGTAAAGAGAAAGGCTCCTCCACAGGGCAATTCAGAGTGAAGATTCATTTAGCTACTCCGAGTCTCTTTCTGGAGGACTCTCAGTTCCACTAACTTCAGCAATAGCCTGCAGAGACTAGCCTCAAAAAGATGCCAACGCTCCCTGGTATTTACCTTCCATCAGTATGAACAGTGGCTGAAGTTCACTGCTGAGATGTATATTTGGGTACACTGCATTTAAATCTGTACACTATGCATTGCACAGAGACTGAATTTTACCAGCTGGAGGGCTGTGTTCGTGCCAGAATCACTGAAGCAGATTCTCCACAGCACTGGGATGACTGTAGGATTTGTTTTTTCTCTACTGCCCCATTAACGTGCTCCGTTTGACAGCCACCTGCACACTGCCATGCTAAGGACTGCTGTGCCCCCAGCACCTTCAGAATCTAACGTACTGCAGCTGTACTGTCACAGCTGCTTCGCTTGCTCTGACTGCTCATGGTATCAATGGAGCAGCTGCAGGAGCTGGGTTTTCACCATCAACCTTAACACAAGGAAGAAAATTTCTCGACTTTTGAAACCTGCCATCAACAATTTTTTACAGTTATTCTTTAGTAACAGCAGCAAGAGAGGAAAATGGTCTTTTAATGTCAAAAACAAAACAGAGTTGGATTTTGTGACTAGGGAGCACAAAGGAGAAAGAAATAGTATTGATAGAACTATTATCAGGGCTATATCCTAACTCCTCTAGTTCTTCCCTACTTCATCAGATTATTGTGCTTCCCTCCCTAGACAAATTCTATGCTATCCTCAAATTCTATCAAATAGCAATTAGCAAAAAATAATACTTCTATAACACTGTATGAACCAAAAGAATGACTACAGCTCTTTATAGTTTTGGTGGAACTTTTCACATTTATGGTTCTTCCCAAATCTCTCTTCACAGAATATCTTTGTAAAATAAACCAGCCATCCTTTTACAAATTTACTAATACAGAAAAAAAGATCCTTTAAACTGACTTCAGCAGAGGCATGACAAAGTTCATCACAAACAACCAAAGTCTTTTGTTTAACATCAGTTACGTTATAACCAAAGTTAAGTTATAACCAGAGCCAAAGACATTACAAACACCAAACAGTTGGTTTCCACAGTGTGCCTTCAGGTATGGTTAGACAAACCAGGACAAGCCTGAAAGCCATGACTTTTCCCAGTCTTACGGCAACTCCCAAGCTGTAGGAAGGCTGGTTCTAAACTTAATTTTTTCCCTATATAACCATGTCACACATACCTTAAGCATAAAAAAATGGAGCTTGCCAACTGTCAAATCACCTGCTAAATACATTTTACCACTGACACTAAGCCTCTCTATGAAACAGAAAAGTTCCGTTCATATTTTAGAGACTGTGTTGGAACAAAGGTGTCATGAACACAGAAAGTACTACAACAAACAGTTATTGTTCCAAACGAACACATCTTTTGCACATTACATAAACTACTTGCAATACAATATGTCAAATAAGTATTATATGTTATCTGTGATATTACCTAAGAAACAGTGTAAGAAATGCTAGCCACCATCTGAAATTATTTTTACATAAACTCCTTTTACAAGTACACCAGAGAATCTTAGTTTCAAAATGCAGTTAACTATGAGGGGGCCGGTTAGCTCAGGCAGTTGGGCATAGCGCTGACAACGCTAACGTTGTGAGTTCGATTCCCGTAGTCGAGAGATGGCGTCCCTGCTAGCAGGGAGGCTGGATTAAAATGATCTCTAAGGTCCCTTCCAGCTTAGGCCATTCTATGATGATATGATGATGATGATGGTCTTCCAAAAACTATTATTGCACCTTTAGACAAAAACAAAAAGGTTTCAATTTGTAATACTCCAGTATCAGGTGTTTTTTCGGTATTCAGTCAAGAGACTTGCAGACAAAAAGTTACAAGCTATTAGTTTGGCTCACCTTGAATATATTGTGGCATTGGATTAATAGAAATTATGCACTTAGCCCTTTAAGGGCAGTATTGTGTAGAATTCTGGATAACAAGAATCCTTTGGCTTGAAATGAATCTCAATGCACATTGATTAAAAGGTTGAATGGCACTGTTTAATTATGGTCAAAATCTAAATAAGAATATCAGAGAGGGACAAAATTCGCACTTCTTTCATATAACTGTTTATTAAAATAAAGAAGAATCCAGAATATTACAATTCATGTTAGAGGTGGAAAATGTTTATAGTCAAGTATCACTTTTGGAAGATTTTTTCTCTATATACTCAATTTACATCCACTTAGAAGGGCTTTTGTACTTCTGCACTATCTGACACAATATCAGAACAGCTTTCTAGAGCACAATTATTGCACAGGACAGTTACATTTGTGACAACATTCATTTAACCAAGCACTACATTGCCCACTGTTCTTTCTGTTAAACTCGGGAGGACAGAAAAAAAATGCCAAATGCAGAAAAAAAATTGCCAAATGCATTAAATCACAAAGTAGAGTACCAGTTCAAGACAAGCAGCAATTTCTCTAATTAAAACACAACTGATGGTTTACTATTGGCAATTTATAAACAAGAAGCATATAATCTGAATACAAACGTTTCAGTGACTCCTATGCTGTTTCCCATATAGCACACAGTAACAAAATAAGACTTTTGGAAAGAACCAGTATTAGTTTACTGAAAAAGGAATGACATATTTGACCTATACCTACACATTCACAAATTATGCTGAATCCTTCTCAGCTGATGGCACTTCATGTGAGAATAGGTCTCATAAACTCTCCGAAATTGCATTTAACTTCACAAGTTGTTAAATGATTTAACACACAGAAACCTTTGTTTTCTCCTTTATCTAAATATTTGCAGCAATTAAATCTTACAATTACTTTGGAACATTTGGCAGTTATTTACTTATTTGCGCAATAAATTCCTGAAACTACCCTTTTATTTGAGCTTAATATTTCAACCATGAGAAACCTGGAAGTAAGTTTTGGGGAAAAAAAAAAAGTTTCAGCAAATTCTGTGTCGTCAGATCGTAACACAGTTCCCCCTTCCAAAAAGTAGGCTCAGCAATATCCAGTATTTTAAATATCTGTTGATTGTGGCTGTGTGTTTACCCTTGTGGAATCAGTAACATCGACAGAGCAGTCCATCTTTTTTCAATAACATAACATGCAATCAGCCCATTCTTCTACAAGTCAGGGAAGAATAAGTGCATGAGTTAATATAATTTAACAAGAAAACAAAACCTTATCTCTGTTTCAAAAAAATCAAATCCTGGGAAATAATTTTTGCTAGCTTTAAAAAAGGCCAATTCATTAATTGCATTTTGAAGTTTCAAAATAAATAGACGTTTGCTGCGTGGCAATGTCACTTATTCCAAGGCTTTCAGGAGATGTTAAGAACTCCCAACTCGATCTCTGGGAATAATCCGTAGATCCGAACCATGCTTTAGAAACACATTTCCTAAACAAGCAAACAAAACAGAATGTGTTACCAACCAGCCAAATAAAATGCTCCCTGTAAAGAATACACATTTAAAGGACGAAAATATTAGGTCAGTGTCTAAAAGTTGTTGTAGTAATTCCTCTAATGTATCAGAAATACATATTTTATGTTTCCATGGAATTTCATCCTATTTCTCTTACTCCAAATAGCGCTTATTTTAAATAAAAATACCAGACCTAAAGTCACCTAGTAAAACTTGCAAGCTACAGCCTTTCAAATTTTGCACTTCCATACCTGAAAGTCTGATTTCAGTTATAGGACATAACAATTTCAGGACCAAGAAATGAAGTTTTACTTCTCTATAACTACTTTTTTTTTTCAGTTGTAAGGTCACTCATGCATATAATATTTTTTAATTTTCTCCTTGGTTCTGTACTTGCATCTAACTTCGGAATCTCGACTTAACTTTTCTTTTAGGAAGGCTCTCCACATATCCAAGCATAAGTCAGTCTCATTTTAGCACTAAAAAAATATTGAACTTGATATTTATTACTGTATAATCTTAATCATAATAGATTTCTCATGGGACATAGTATGAAAATTAGAAGTTTCTCATACTCGGATGTCTAGAATATTTTCTACATGCGTTAAGCATTGTCATTCAGGCTGTTATTTTCTTATATTAAATGTAACATTTGAAAAATGAAATCACACTGCTAAAAGTGATGTATTATTTAATTATTATATGGAACTAGGGTTTTTACTTCATACTGCTACTGCACAGAAGACTACGTATAATTCTACATTATCAGGTTTTAGTAGTATCTACCTGTTATTATTATCTTTGCGTTGACTTGTAGAAACAAAGTCATTGTACTTCTATCCCAAGCACCCTATTTCAGGGATATAGAGTGCTCTCATAAAAATGATTCAGTTATTTAACATTGTTCAAGTTATTAGCATATTGGAATAAAGCAACTTTTCCAAACTTTACTATTCTGGCACGTGGATCAGGACTGAAACCGTTCTACTTATTCAACACGAGTATTAGAAAATCAGTTCAACAGGATTGTGTTATGGGAAGACATTCTGGTTTTAGAGATCTGCCAAGACTGCATACTGCAGAGACCTATAAAACCCACTGAACACAAACCTGTCACACCAGCAAACCAGAGAACTAAGCGTACCAATCTAGATGAAAAATATCCACACTGCATCAGCCATTATAAAACTCTAAAATCTTAATACAGGCCAGAGCTCCATCTCACGCAGAGAGCAGTTCATCCCACCTCTCAGCCTGTTTCCATCACTAATATCACGGTGGTTTTATTAAAGTTATGGCATACTATTTCCTGAACTATTGAGGATTTAAAACTGAAATCAATACAGGAATTAAGTGCTAAGCCTAAGCTTTTTCAACTTTTATTTCTCCTACTCCATGGAATCATGTAGGGAGAATGACAGAAAGTCATACTTGAGAAGTACTTTTATTCAGAAAGGTGGGGAAATAGCGGAACAGAACAAAACCTCTGAAATCCCCAAGGATTACCAAGATTTTATTCCTTGATCATCTTACTTCACAAAGTTTTTGAAGGCTAAAGTAACTGTTCAATCTATGGGAACTTTAATATATGCACAGAAAAATAAAAAAGAAAAAATATGGAAAATACCATGTATATATTACCCTACCAAGTTTCTGAGATATCAGTAAGGCTGAGGAGGGATTTTGACCTGGGTCTTGGATTTGATATAGGCCTTTTCTGGTTTTTTTTTTTGGTCTTTTTGTTTTCAGTTTAAGACAACATGGCACAGCATTGTCAAGGCAATGGTATCGTTAAAAAAAATAATCCATGTGCCTAATCTTACATTTGCAGTTAAGATTAAGACTGTGATGAAAACATTTTGCATCTAGATGCTTTTGATTTGCCTAATCCTTGATTATGAGATGCTGTCTTATCCTACTACTGAATAATTCCTCAACAGTTATAAAAACTTAGAAAAGATAAAGCAAATCAGTTGGAGATGTGAATTCAACATGCAGAGCTGCAAGTGTGATGAGCTACCATATGAATATTTTCATTCAGGAGTCAAGTAGTCTTAAATACATTTACTTTGCAGGATTAAGCTACAACTAATTTGAGCTACATAATATAAAATGAAAGTATAATTTTGAGGAAGAGAAACAGCTTAAGTATACCTTAACTTAAGCAACTGATTTTACCTATTTTGCCTCAGAATGTGAAAAAGTGGCTTTACATGGGGGTGATGACCTAGTAGCTAAATGAAATTAGTTTTATTATCTGTTTTTAATATGCTTGATCATGATAAAGACAGCATCAGCTGAGGTAGCCTGCCTGATGAAGTACACAGTCTCAAACCATAATCCAGGTGTCCTAAGACAAGCCCAGAAAGGACAGAAATCTCCAGTGGAGCACAAAGCCAAACATTCACTTGATCTTCATTTTTAAATGTTGTTGATGCAATCACAGATCTCAGAAATGGGTCACTACACTTGAATGGTTCCTTTTACAAGTCCAAGAAATTCCCCAATCTCATGTCAATAAATTGCTCTTCTAACCATCACACACAATTATGTGTTCTTCAAGGATTTACTTTATACTATTCATCTTACATAGCTAAGTATGCTGATAGTGGTTTGCTTTCTTATTCTCTTTAGATCTGAAAAAAAAATAAATATGGTACAGCATCTTCAATAACTGGCAAAAATGAATGATACCTGGCAGAGATTTCATATAAAAACCAGAAAAGCAGCAAGACTCCATAAACTGTTCATCATGTTTGCATGCAGAAATAAAATCAGACTGATGATTTTCACTGGATGACTGGGTTCCACAAGCACTAAAGCCATTTTTATTACTTCTTAGTAGGAAGTTAGGAACATTTCTTCCCTGATGAGATACTTCAACTCCACCATTAACTCTCGTCTCAAATGGGTCAAGATTACTGTAGTCATTTCCAAAGTACTTTACAAGTATAGCTTTGCAAGAACAAGTCCACAGAAGCTTGCTTCCAGACAATGGACCATTATTAGACAAATTTAGCATCTGTACTGCATTTCCATGTATTTGAGGAGGTGAGGGTGAAAAGCTTTACACTTTTCTGTCACAGAGATAAACTCCGGTCTCATAGCAAGCCTCCACAGTTGAAATCAGAGACTTCTCACATGGAATCGCTTGGTAAGAAAAAGAGGGCTATCAGAGAGATCCTCTGTCCTTGAAAACATATTTTCCAAAGCACCTAGAGTTCCTACTCTTAAACTCATTATTACTTTTTGAACATATGTCTTGAGAAGTGCTGCTAAAATAACAAAACCTACTGAACTAGGTATGGTAGAGAAAAAAAATATAGCTATTACTTGTCATTTCAGTAGCATGTAATACAATATTCCTCTTTTAAACTGTATACTAAATAGCTAAGCTCTGAAAATAATCTTTTCACAGACCTAAATAAACAAATGCTGAACAACAGTTATGTGAATTTAACCTTTTACACACAACAATGATTGTAATTTCTAACTCAGGGTAATGCTTCTTCAATTTAAGAAATCAAAACTTAAAATATAAATCAACCCCACATGCTATGTACTAGTTTAAAAGAAAAATAACTTACCTGCTGTCTGTGCAGGGTTTATTCCTATACCATCTAGGAAAAAAAAAAAAGAAAAAAAAAAAGAAGATCAAAAAGAGGTGAAAATGAAACAGCCATATTACAATCTACCATACTAAACTTACATCTCAAAGATCATCATATAGAAAAAAGAAATAATTATGACATCAGGTCTTCATGCAGTTATTTCCTACAATCAAAAATAGCCTTATCACAGGAGCTAACAAGAAACCTTCAGCACAAAAAACTGAAGCTATATATTTGGACAAAACCAAATTAATAATATTAGTGATTTAATACCTTTGACTCATGCATAAGCAACTTAAATGATGCTGCAATATAAATAAATATAAATATATATGCAATATATGCAATATAAACAAATATATGCAATATAAATAAATTCAGTTAGTAGTCTGCAGAGGTTGTGAAAGAAAATACACTTGCCTTTATCAATACCCTTGCACTGAAAATCCAATACAAAACCTTTAAAAAATGTAGATATAAACCATGTTCTTACCATTTGTTATAATGGCACTTGTTGCTGCAGGAACTTTGAACTAAAGGAAATAAAAGTAGGGCAAAATAACATGAGAGATATAGTTAAAACCGAAAATATATTGGAAATATTCAAAGTAATTATAATTTTGGCTGGTTCAGGTACAAAATAACTACGAGAAAAGATTCCCCCCAGATTTAGAGATATAGGAAAAAAAGGTTTAAAGTCAAAGTTACCTGAATACAGAAGGTGAAATGGGCAGTACTAAACAACTCATCAAATCAAATAATTATTACTCATTGGATAAAATACAAAAGTTAAGAATCTGCAAAGTTGAGAAATACTAGAAATAAAGGAATACCTAAAACATCTAAGAAGCATACCTCTTATGCCTAACAGGAGTCAACAAGAATTAGCTTGAGCTAATTTTAATTAGTTTTGACCTATTTCCTAGCTTTCTCTCTGGCTCTATTGGGACCTCACCAACTGCACTGCTCTGAGAGGAGTTCACTCCAGGATTTTCTTATAAAAGGAAGAATGAAGAGAATGGCATCAGATCTGGTTCCCTCCTCAGGTCCTGACACTAGCCCAGGAAGCCTCTGCACCCTCAATCACCACCACGTGTCTCTACAGCAGCCCATCTCCACACACATTCTACGTGGTCAGTTTACACAGGATGAGCCCTATTCAGGTGGGGTTGCCTCACATATAGGCTTCAAACCATTTCAGAAGATCTGAACTGAGACAGGAAAACCAAAAATAGTTATTTCTCAGAACCAGAGGGAGTCAGGCAGGGCCAGAGAAAAGTCCTGCACTGTATAATGTGGTTGGACAACACGGGACAGAAAAGGTCAGAGGGGTACAAGTCAATGAGCGCTACTTGGTTGTTCTGAAGGTGACAGAGCACTGGCACAGGCTGCCCAGAGAGGTTGTGGAGTCTCCTTCTCTGGAGACTTTCAAAACCCGCCTGGACGCGTTCCTGTGTGACCTACTGTAGGTGATCCTGCTCTAGCAGAGGGGCTGGGCTAGACGATCTTTTGAGGTCCCTTCAAACCTCTGACATTCTGTGATTCTGTGATAACCACACACGTAAAAAACTGGCATCTGGCATTTGCAACTCTCAGTGAAATCTCCTCTCAAAGATCTCACCTCTACCCAAGCATAAGGAAAAGGGCAGATAACTATGAATGCCAACAGAGTGCTTCCCTGGAAGAACTACAGAGCTTTCCCGTTTTCTGAACACCCGTCACTTCAGCCCTGCTTTTCAATAGGCATTCACTAGCTGTGCTTTCTTAATTTTCTGATTGCGTAACTGAAGATTTTTAGGTTTCATTTGCAGAAACCCGATGCATTAACAGCAATAGCTAAAGCTCACATAAATCATGCTTGAATACAGCACTTAATAATTAGCATGCTGAAAAACTGCCCTATTTATCTCCAGACACACGAAATTAGCAGATATCTCTTTACTTGATCTGTCTTAGCTTTTTACCCGTACCAGACAAATCATACCACCTCCTCATCTTGCAGGGTGACATGACATAAAAATTGAAGTGCTGGAGCAGGTCCAGAGGAGAGCAATGAGGTTGGTGAAGGGACTAGAGGGAAAGTCCTATGAGGAGAGGCTGAGGGAGCTGGGGCTGTTTAGCCTGGAGGAGACTCAAGGGGGGCCTTGTCACTCTCGACAACTACATGAAGGGAGGGTGTAGTCAGGTGGGGGTCAGGCTCTTCTCCAGAAGAACCAGAAGTGGCTCCTCACTCCTTGTGTCTCCAACTACTCAGTCCAACTCAGTTTTCACGGTCCCTCATGCTAGCATGAACAGTATGAACCCAAATTAGGGAAATAACAGGGGCAAAGCCTAACTTATCAAGAAAAAAATAGCTTGGTGTGAACCCAAACTCTCTCTTTTAAGATAAACCTGTGGCAGTATGTTCAAAGGGGTGACAGAAGGGAAGGAAGCAGCAGGCAGGGTCAGTTTTAGAAGACAGAGGACACCCCACATCAGCTTAAGCTGTTTGCAGGTGGCCTGAGCCTAATAAAGACAATGAACTAAGCTCAAATGACTAATACAGCAAACAAACTTCAAGAAGGACCCTTTGATTAACAATCCAGTTTGAATGACTCAGTGTGTAACTCCATCAGATCTCGATCTGACAGGTGTAAGGTCACAGGAATCTGTAACAAAGACTGGAAGGGGAAGAGGACTATCGCTTTTAGAAGCAGCCCACAACTACAGTAGAAATGGCACTTTGGAGTTCTAGTGGGCTTTTCAGTCTAGGTTTCCATGTATGTGTTGTGTGGGCACAGCTGCATTAGTTCAGATTGAAAGTAATTGGAAAAAACACTGTAATAAAAAAGCAACTGAATCAGCAAATATTTTTAACAGCATTTATTATTCTGTATATTATTCTAGTTCAAGCAAAGTTAAAACAAATAGATAATCCACAACCTCCCCACACAAGCCGTGTTTCCACTATTTGACACACAGTAGTATAACACTAACAATATAAGAAGACTCAAGACACTTGCTAATTCTATATTTTGTTACAGTTTCAATGCCTGAACAAGTCAAATTTTCAATAACCCCAAATTTCCCAAGTTTTCCTAAAACCACAGAAGTTGAACTAGAGGAACAGACTCTCAGCTGAATCTGTTTGCTCACTAGATGAAAAAAAGACATCATGCTTTTGAGTAATTTATTTTACTGTTTACATCTCTTAATCTTTGTACGCTTCATCTGAAATAAATAGGATGCATCTTCAAATACATTATACAGGCAATTTAGGCACTTATTGGGTTTGGATTCCATGTAAAAGATCAAACATGCAGAAAGCAAAGAACAGGTTATCCAAGTCTTACTCACTTAAATCTGTGGGGTTTTTTAAATCTAGCCCATATGCCTATTCTCAGTACTTTCTAGAAGCAAAAACTGATTATTTTTTAATCACACATGTTAATGGAATTGACTATGGGAAGAGTTTAAGATCCTCCTGTACAACTCCACTGAATTTTCTGGATATCCCACATAAGCAATTTAAAATATTAAATGCTCACCAACAGTATCTTTTAATTATGCTCAGGATAGTAAATTTTTATGTTATTTATATAAAATGGGTTAATTTAATTACAAAGAAAAACAGAAAATGTGTCAACTGCTGTTGATGTGTACATTGCGCAAAAACAACTACATTTAGGATTCTGAAAAATTTTGGCAGGGCCATACTGACATCAGTAAAGCTTATATCTTTGTGTATCTAACGTGAGCATTCCTTGTGCTGAAGTAACCATTTTATTTTACAATCAAAAAGCTTTTGCTTTCAGGAATGTTCAAAAAGCTAAAAACCGACGTGATCACTTTCTACTTACTTCTTCTGCGGCAAACTTCAGGACAGCTGTGAAAGGTGTACTTTCTGGCACACTTAACCTGAAATGTCAATTTTTAAGTAAATACATGACTGTTAAGACAAACTCAAAAGCTACTTTATTTGCTATTAAACTGCTAATTTGCTTTAATCAATGGTAATCCTCCAGTCGAAAGC